TCACTACTCCCACCATTCTTATGTGGATTTCAGTTTTTCTCCGTTCTTTTAATATACATGTCACGTACATTACTGGACATTGCCTTGAGTTCATCATGACTGACACGCTCATCGCCTCCGTAGACCAATTTCAGTTTGTTAGAAGTCGTCACGTGCTCATCATTCAAATATCTGTTTATCACTATTTGTATTTGGGTCCTGATACGATTACAAAAATAATATCGGATTAGTAATATTTTGGTTTTAAATATTGGTTTCTAACCAACTACCTATCAGGTTTTGCGATAGAGCTATATCATGTAAAACGTTATCTGATAAAACGTTATAAGGTAATACTTCTTAATTTCTTAGAATCAAAAGGATGGACTTTTCATGTGGTTGAATTACGTCAATATTGTACATCATTTGATATCCATGGCAACAATGATAACACCTGCCTCAAATGATTGCATTCAGGTTACAACTTCAACTTTGCATAGTGTTGGCGTCGGAATAACTCCAATCAAATCTCAAAGCATCTGACATTGCTCATACGGATCACCATCTGTGGTGTGTTCCACGAGGAACAATTTCTCTTCATTTATAATCATAATTGACACTGATTGTCCAATTTAACACTCGGTCAATCAAAGGTTTCTCATGTGATAATAAGCTTATATTGACCCCATCTGCAACTCGTGAGTCTCGTTTTGGTATTTTTCTTTCGATATTTCCTCCAACGTAATGGTAATGTTTGGAATCCATTTAAGAGATTGCAAGTTTGGATCTTGAGGGGTCGGCTACCATTCGATCCTGGTGGTCCTCTCTATTGCCTATTTTTGATTCATGGTAAACTGGAATTTTTCCACTCTCTTATTTTTATCACACATCGACAATATTACTCATGTAGATTAGTATTTTATATCATTCAAGCAGTATCATTCAAGACTGTGATATTTTTGTTATAAGTATAATGTTTTGACAAAGATACTTTTTCCACACTTGTATTGTATTGTATTCTTTTTTAGGTATGATCCCAGCTTTGACATCAGTGGTTGAAAAAAGGGATCAAAACCAGCTATATCTCTCTCCTGATGACCATTGTGAATTTTTTTTTATGGATAATAGCGTCGGGTTTGCGGATTGATGTTGACCCTTTGAAACGCTTATGGACTTCGAGATTGGATTTTGTCCGTCCCACATCATTTGAGAATGATGCTCTAACTTCCGAATGAGTGAAATATCCCTTGGTGTTAGGCCTTCTAAGGCCTCATTTTTTTAATTTTAGGCCAAATTTTGAAGAAAATGGGCCTCAGATTTTCAAAATTTGGGCCCACTTTTCGGTTTTAGGGGCCCAAAATTTTTTTGTAGTCTTAAGATGTTTTCTTTTACTTGCTGTGTTCTGTAAACATATTTGGTGTTTTCTCGCTGGCACTTGCGCATACATGTACATATTGGTATAGAATACAATGTGTTTTACAGTGTTTATTGCATTATTTAATGATCTAAAAATCAAATATTTTCAAGTCATTTTTATGAATAAACACTATTTTCAAACTTTGCGCAAGGCCTATGAAAACTAACTTTTGTATTCGATAAATATCTGCGGATATGGAAGTATTGTTAGGGTATAACCATAACACTGAGTCATTTATAACGATATCATCTAGATAAACTTACGTACAATTCGATGTCAAGTTGTTCGTTCCTGAAACGTTTAAATGGCAATTGTGTTTACAGAATCAGATCATTTAAACAATAGAAAGAGCTTTGTCTAGAGACTTACAGGTAGAGTTAACTTGAACATCAAAGGCCATTCTTTTGATATTTAACCTGCTCTCAGTCTAACAGCACATCCAAGATCAATTTAAGCAAATGAATACACTGGGAGAATAATCGAGAGGCAAAGATTAGAATAGCATAGACAAAAATATTTTTACTCAAGTAAATCCGATTTCAATCTGTGTTCGGATATGTCAGCAGTGAGCCACATGCCGCCAATGGAATATCAAGGCTTTGCTTGTTTTCGTATCTATTTATTTTCCACTGCTATGTCAACACTGGCATAGCAGTGCTAAAAGAATATAACTATCTAACAGATCTGTACTCGATAGACCGTTCATTTAGCCGGAGGGCAATGATCATTTTGCAAAACTCTCTCCCCCGCCCACCACTCTTGGAAACATCTACCTTCTCACATGTGTAAATGGCACACACATTGAACGTTCAAAATAGAATAAGCCACCAAGGTTATTACGCATCTCCCATCCCATGAACGCAGTGCTTCTTAGACATCACATACACATTTCTTCATTCTTCCTAGATGATGGCATGTGCATTCGAAAGATTGATTTTTCTACCATCGCATCGTTTATAAATATCACCTATATCCATTGCTATTTTCACACCTTTAATTAAATCAGACAGGCATATTATCATATGGCAGAAGGAAACTTCAGCAGTATAAGTAACTATGAGTGCTAAAACAACATCGCACAGCCGAGTGGCTTTGAGGTCGTAGAAAGGATACGAACTGAAGACGCTGAAATGTTTGTACTCGTAGAGGGCGAACAAAGAATGCAACCCTTCAACAAAGTCTCCATAATTTTAATTCAAATTTTGAACTTAGGCAAAAGTTAACGTCAGTGTATACACGGCTGACTGTTGTATTATAGTAGCCTAGCACATGTCCAGGGTTTCTTTTATTCCAATTTTACCAAATTGATTTATTCGATTATCTTAATAATATCTAATAAAAAAGTGATTCAGATATGATGCAAGTGTCATATCTATACGGAGATAGCTATTTATGCTTTAAGAGCATTTTAGTATAAATCTAACAGCCGGGTGGATTCCGTATGGACGGTCACTCAATATATAGTTTTCTTCAAATGGCATTTTAAAGTATCATTTTTGGTATTTTCTGAAATGGATTCATTGGAGCCTGATATGATATTTGTAAAAGGAATAAACATTCAAATCATTGATTTTCTCAATTGAAATGGTATTTATCATGTTACCATGTGGATATACATTTTGAACCTTGTAAGACAGAAAGATGGGTCACACATTTCCCAGTTTCTGATTTTCTATTCCTGTGTGTTCCTTCAGTCAGAAATACATCGATAGAACGGGATGCATTGTTTCATGTTCGCCATATTTTGGCGGCGCAAATAATCTCCATCTATGATTTCATCAGATTTTTCATAGTTAAAATAAAAACTGTATTATTTATTGTATGTTTACCCATATATGAAGGTGGGTAATCTGGGGGCATATAGTATGCGTGCATCATTGTAGTGTACATTGAAAAGTGTGGAAAAGGATACGCGATCACAATAACGCAGATGCGAGTAAGTAGTTACCAGTTTAACCACCAGATGGCTCGTTCGGGTCAGATAGCATGGCGGGTATAGTAGAATGTTCCCTTTAACTTAAATTACATCTGTTTTAGTGGTTCAATTTTCATATAACCCTTATGTATCTAATTGTTATGTAAATTAAAATATGTCCAGTAAAGGAAAATTTTATCTGTCCAATACAAGAAAAGATATTTTAGTTTTTGTGATTTTGTAACATGGGGTCTATGGGGAATCAACCCGAACTAGAAGTCACATTTTCAAAAAAAATTAATTTTTCAAAGTAAATAAACAATTTTCGAAACCATATTTCTAGATGTACTTCTACATGTAGATTTCAAATATGACATCACTTTGACTGAATTTTGAATATTTAATGACGTAAATCAAAATTATTTCTACTCGCATCTAGTCTATTATAAAAGGACCACTAGGTTCTTCAGGGCATGAATACAAAATAAATGTCATTTGTTAAAGTACAAGTCGATTCAATAGATTATATAACTAATATACCTCAATGATGGAAGGCATTATCACGCACCTGCGGATGCATTAAGTAAATGGAACTTAAGGGGTTATCTAGCAAAGATTGTGCAATACAAAATAAAACATGTAATTCAGCATCTCTTTTATCCTAATACTGACACAAAATTGAACTAAGCAGAAATGTAGTTTTAAGAAGTTTATTCACCAGAATTGAGTACTCAAAATATTTGTTTGTGCAATGTGATTTTGACCAATGAAACAAAGTTAATATATGAATAAGAAAATATAACTTTTATATCTGTATATACATTTTATAAACGCTAATCGTTTTAAGGGCCTGAACCTGACTCTGAAATGTGGATAACCTTGACGTTCTACTAGCGTTATCAAAATATTTTAAATGCACCCGCGTGTGATTACATCCAAACACATCTAAAACCCAAGTACGACTTTGAAAAAAAAACTGAAAAACATATCACGCCTGTGTAAGCAAAATCAGAATATATTGCACAGTTCAGAAAGGTGGATACACTGCAAGGAGATCAGTCATCTCGTCTTGCATATATACATCATCTGTATCTATCTAGCGACTCCCTTTACACCAAAGAGAAAAGGATAGGGGTTACATGGGCTTGGTGCAAGACGAATCGCCGCGATAAGGTCTATTTTTACACGGGAACAAAAAGCTGAAACTAATAGAAAAAATCCATTTGTTTTTGTTAAATTTCCTGCTTTCATTAGATTTAAGCGAAGCCTTTTCCTAAATGTCAATTGTAACATCTAAACGATCGTCAAAGACAGATGGTAATGGTAATTGTACTTCATTGTACATGAATGTTTCTTATCCCTAGCCGAAGATTTTATCCGAAATTAGCGTTACGTCAATAAATATAGCGTCGTAAGCAAATGGTAAATTGGATCATCGGTGTCAATGACCAATGTGACCACCTTCTCCGTCACTCGGATCATTGGTAAATCAATTCTTTTTAATTCAATCATAATTTGTCATAAATTGAACATGAAGCCAGGTGCGTCAATTATAGCTGACATTTAGTCAATAGAAATATTTCTAAATTAAATCTAAATGCTATATATGGATCTTTGGGAAACGTCGTTAAAAATGAATTAAAATGTCACAGTGAAGGTAAATTCACTTTTACAGTCAAATTCACTTACCTTTGCATAAACAAATCCATAGAATTATGGTCACTATAAAACACCACGTGTCCATCTTTTAGAATTTCGGCAATCGCTGATGTATTTCCCTTTGTGTTTGCTGACTTTTCGTTGTTGTTATTTTCTAGCTTTTCATAACAATCGATTGAGATAATTTTGTTTTTAAAGGTTATACTCATTTCTAAAAGCTTGAGCTGTCAATTTGAACTATCTGATTTTATCCATTATCTATTAGGTCTTTATCCCTGTTAAGTCATCTTCATTTGGAAATGATCGTTTAATTCCACATATTACACACGCTTCAGGATTTGACGTCTATCTAGACTTTTTTTTATTACATTGCTATACCGGGTTTGAGATTATATTGTTATCCTCTCCCAGGTTAATGCAGAGTGATGTTATCATGTCCTTCCCGAACTGAACATGGCGATGTTGCTCCACGTACTATTTACAAGTAGTATCAAATTCTTCCAAAGTGCATCCAAGGTAATCTAATTGTTGTTATGGTTCATATATGATACGCCAGGTGTCGTTGAGGGCGTTCCATTGTGTCACCATTTTAGCGTCGTCTAATTGAATTTCCTGTAAACACAAAAATGAAGTGCTTTAATGGGGGTTATATTGGAAATATAAACCATATCGGGGAATGAATATACTTACCTACTTGAATAACCTTTCATCGCTAACAAGTTCACAAATGTTAGGGGACCAATAAAAATGTTACGTGCATAGTTTGTTATCAATTACACTGGTTTTTGCATAGATGAAATGTTTTGTATTCATATATGCTAGGACAAAGAACATACATCTTCACGGTGATCATCCTCATATTCTTCTTAAAACAGAAAGAGGAAGCTCCTCTTGAAAGATACATGGTCAATTTTTTTACAAATACTTGGGTGAGGTTTTGTAAATGTGTTGAATGGCAGATTCTTATCTGTTGTTGAGATCCTATGTGTCATTGCGTTCAGTGTCATCTTTGTTTTATTTATTTTAACAGTTACGTTTAATCTACGACTGTCTATGTTATTCTTATGTTGATTTGGTTGGGCATTTGCCGTTGTGTACTTTCTCAAGTCATCTTGTCCCATTTTCAAAGGGGTTTGCAGATAAAAAAATCAAAAGAAGCAGTTTTAATATGTTGTTCAATGAAAGAATCGGCCAAGCTTTTGGAGTGGCCTGTACAAGTACTTACAGATAGCTCAATCAATGGAAAATGTACATACTATCTAAGACAATTTGTGTAGATTAACATATTATTACCTCTATACTAGATAGACAGATTATCCAGTACACGTTTCACAATAAGTAGTTTGGTAACTAGCTTTAATACCACAACAAGGATCACTTTAAAAGCAAAGGTGTTTGAGCAATCGATATATTGAATCTTCCTAATTATAGTTTATCTAAGCAAATGTTTTTCGGCAGTAACGCATACAAAGATTCATTAGTTGGGCTCTAGGAGCATATTCTTCACATACGTCCCACCTCCCCAAAAAGGGTTTCTAATTTTTAATCGGGAAATTTTATTTGTTCTCTTCAATTTCCGATTCCGTTCTAATCGATCTGAGCAGTTACCGATTACGGAAGACATGCTGAATATCATAAGGTTGTTAAATCAGATCAATTAAGTGGCTTTAGAGATAATTGAGATTTATCAATTTATGTATATGATGATGATTGTGAATAGAGAAACACTACTAACAATGCCATGCGAATCAAGTAGACATATTTGCTCATTGAGTGATATAATGCTGAAGACAGTTTACAATAACAATGGGTACAATAACAATAACGTAACATTCCATAACACATACCCTACTCCTGAACACAATGGTCATAAAACGTATCTGACTCCCGCGACTCTGATCTGCTAATGGGAGAATACCCGGTTAATTGAAATCCAGATGTGGAAACGATTACTAGGATGAGTAGCCCGGGATTAGACGTAAAGGTCTGGACGGGTCAGAAATCCTTCTAAATAATCCTAATGCGTTCCTGTTTGTCCAATGATTCCACATAAACATTGTTCGCTTCGTCAGTGCCAAATTAAGATGTTGGTTGAACTAATGAAAATCAGATTCTCTGATTACTAGTTTTACCCTGATCTTGTATATCAGCTCAACGGACTGAACTCAGCCAATGAGATCACTGGATCGATACGGATTAGCCAATTAGAGTTAATTTAGTGGTATCGATGAAGAGGAATGTCATGTTGTCTATGACGATGATCTAATTCCTGCATCCACACCTGACTTCACTTCTTGATCGTAAACACACAAGAAAGTACTAAAGGAATTGACAAAATTTTAATAACTCCATCCTGTTAAAGCAGCACCGTTTTAAATAGATTGTATTGATTTAATATCACTGAACATAGTATTGGTTGTTGAACATCACACAAAATTAACGTTTATCATTTATTTGGGATTACGCAGGGGTCATTTTAAATTTTTTTTTGAAGATTTCTTTTTAATAGATATTAGTAAATAAGTAAAAATATCTCTTTGACATCGAGAACATTTTATACAATTTCAATTGAAAAATAAGATCAAAATCGACTTCACACTCACAGTGGGTGGTATAACTTATTAATCACTGTTTATTTCTTTTTTGAATTCATTGTTCCAGTCTTACCTGACCTTGGAAAGTAGGTGAAGCTTTGCAGTTTTTATTACCAATTAGACCATGAATCAAAAAATCACAACATAAGTAATCAAAATAGGTGAAATAAATGTGTTAATCATTTTTAAAAATTTGAACAAAAAATACAGATGGACAGAGGGTATCATTTTCAATTGGACAAATGAAATAAATATATCATGCGAATTACCTTAAGTTTCAAACAAACAATTCATTAGTAGATCAGTTCTAAACTTCAAAACATATCAAGATTTGATATTTATTTATTTTTATGGACCCCTGCTAGACCCTTCACTAATAATACTAATACTACGGAACATGCTCAAATCTCGCTAAATCTCGTTTTTCATGATAATTTAAGAGATTTGCACTTTTTACCTCTAATGATTTACTTTTCCTTATTTTTGATAGCATATTTGAATTCAGTGACCAGTTTTCTCCAATAATAATAGGCTTGATTTACACAATTAAGTTATTTAAATCATTTTCCATGCCATTTAAAAAAAATTGGATCAAATCTCCATTGGTGAAATGCTAAAATTCATCAAAACCTTGGCTTATTTGTATAACAACCAACATTTCCATGTTAAATCACAATATCTACATTGGCAGGGCCATCCAATAGTATGCCATTCGAGTTTCAGACAGATTTAACCAACACTTTTTGATAAATCATGAAATTATGTGACTATTTCAAGTTTCTAGCATTGACCTCCATTCACATTAAAGTGAATGGAGGTCTGGCCCAAGAAAATCAAACACCAACAAGGGTGATATATATATTATGTCAGCGTTATTCAGCCTATTTTGAAACTATACAATTCGTTTGTCGTAAGAACTATTTATATTTCCAATCTGAGGTAAGGAAGAATTATGTGCAATGCAACGACCAGGGCACCGACTACGCCCAGGAAAACAGGCTGGTTTAGAAACACATGAAAACACGTGGCTATAAAGCGACACTTTTGTATAGGCAGTCCAAACTAACACATAATCACAATCAAATATGATGTAAATAACAGAAGTCAACTGGATGCACCACGAATGTCCATAATCAAATACCCTGTACGCAGAGCTCTTACAATGATTTTATCCAAAACTTGCAATTTTCCTTTTTGAGAAAATTAAGCAATACATTTTCATTCAAAGGCTACTTTTCTTAATCGAATGATTTTCATCATAAACGGACCTAAATGGTGTCTAGAGCGCTCTCATGAGGAATCGGCAAATTATGGGTACAATAAGTTTAAATGTTGTCAAAGTCAAATGTCTCAAAATTCGCTATGAAAAAGTTTGACTGAGGTTCTGATTGACGTTCGAAGCAGTCACGAATGTGCAGATAAGTTGAATCAATTTATTTTTAACCTTTATTATATTATTTGCACTGGATTGTATCACATTCGGATACGCATTCTTCTTCTTTTCCGAGAGCTGTCATAACACGATCTTCATTCCATAGATAAACTTCAATTTAGAATTGAAATCTAGAAGATGGTTAATTTGACATTAGTCACTAAGACTGCAGGTTCAACCACTATATGACGACCTATGTTTAGAAATCCTGGAGATTTATTAGTAAAAATGATATTTCTGGGGTAAAATCTACTTATCACAAAGTAGCTTTCAATTAGAACATACTTTCCAACATGTCGCCCTAGACCAAACAAGATGCTAAACAGACCAGAGACAAGTTGGCAATAACTTTAACAAACGTGATATTCCATTCATTGCCTGTGATCTAGTGATCAATTTAAAAATGGGGATGGACTTGGAAAATCTGATTTTTAATCTTTAATGACTTCTTTTTGATCCGATATCTCAAATATTTTCTTCAAAATTCAGATTATAAAGAATTCAATGGGATGCTTTTCGTAAAGATTGTTTCCAAAATTTTACACTCAATTCCGTGCTGCCACTAAATTTTTGTTTAAGCGGATCTAGCTTACATGTTGAGATAACATACAGACAAAACATTTACATACGTAAAGGTAGAACATCACTTGATTTCTAGCTTCCTAACCAACTGCGAATGTTTACTATCAGGTAATTAGAAAAGCATGGATGGACCAGTAAGCAGAATAGTTGGATATTTAGATAGCTTCCTTAAGCTTTAGATGGTCTAATTAGAGTTCCCCGTTTTCAAGATGTGATGCAATCAAGCTTAAATTGTGTTGGTCTTAGGATTTGAGGGTTACCATCTTTTTCAGTTAATTAATTATTTATATCACGTTAACAAATTACACGAGTCTAGTGACTGGATTTGATACTTTCGCACATACCTTATCAATACATTGACAGGTATGGGGACCCGTGTCGGAATCTAGATATGTGTTTTAAGTTATTTTTCTATAGTTCTCGCCTTTAATTCTTCACCTATTTTGAAATGTATAATTGTTTTTATGATGTTTTTTTTGAAGGAGAATTGTAGTATGGAGTTTTCAATGCCATCGGCATAAATGCATGTATGTAGATATGTTTAGTAGATTTGATATCTATGATTTGTGAGCGTAATATGCGTGTTATGGGTTAATTTAGTGCAATATGTGTAGTTCACCTTAATAAATATTTAAAAAGGAAAGTTTCGCACAACTCCCGCTGAATTAAAATGGGATACTTAATCGTAAAGCCATTAGAATTGACGTTAATGTTATTAATAAATAATCACATGAAGTCAAACTACTCTTCGTTTTTTGAAGGAGAGCATATATAGCCATAATATTGCCCGGTTATTTTTCCAATCACATGCCTGTTACCGATTAATGTAAAGGATTCAAGATTTTCTGTAAATGATTCAAGCTTTTCTGTAAATGATTCAAGCTTTCCTGATCTTCAGAACGTTTCTAAACTAAAAAAGGTCCAGAAAGCCCAAATTAACACCATTAACAAGGCATACTTATCTTAACCTACCATTTGTCCTGAAATGTAAATAATTAAAAATC